GTCACTAAAAATATTCATAAAATGTAAATTGCTGTTATGACAAGTAAAAGAGGCCAGGCTTCAGAATGAAGCTGTCTTAGAGTCAAATCTCGCTGGATTTGTCTTTAACCTCTCTGCCTCCATTTACTTCTCTGTGAAACAGAGAGGGTGATGTCTCTCCTTCCACACTCACTGGGAGTGGGAAAGTGTCACTGAGAAAATAAGCACGCAGGTGGCCACCCATAGCAGTGTCTTAGCACAAGGCACTTCTCTAGGGCTTCCTTGTGATTTTTTTCATGTCACAAGACAGAAGTGTCAAAGGAGTTGATAAAGAAAATGGGGACTGAGTTGACAATGAGATTGAAGATATTGTGCCTTCATTTTATTCTTTGGGAGTAGTCTGCTTCTTTGACCTGATGCCATCTATACTTCTATAAGGTTAGATTCTTAAATATTACATTGGTCATCATGGCTTAAGTCTACATGCCTCCCAAAGCCTCATATAATCACAGGTGGGGCATTTCAATGTCTGGACTTAGAGCATGTGATTCTGGGATTGAGGAGGGTGTGTGATCAGTAAATTAGTCCGCTGATGGGTTTGGTATAGTTCTGAGTAGGATTAAGGCTGCCCACCCTGGAGGTGGTGCTACACAGGGCATGTAGCCTGGATAAAATACAAGGGGCAAAAAGAGGTCACTGCTTGTGGCCTGCTGCTCATAGCTGCTACTGCCGCTGCCATTCTGCTGCTCCCTGCCCGCTCCGCCATGCCTCTCTGCCAGGCCATATGGCCTTGGACACAGTTAGCTATGGACTAATACCCTGCAAACCATGAGCTACAATAAACTTCCCCCTTTTGAAACTGTCTCATTGCTATTTGTTTCTCAATAAAATTATGGGAAAAAATTAGAATAAATAAATAAAATAAACTTCCCTCCTTTATCTTTGGGTGTTGGGTTTTTTTTTTTTAATTTTTATTTGTGTGTGTGTGTGTGTGTGTGTGTGGCCAGCTCAGCCCACCAGGGGGCGGGCTGGCTGGCATGTGGTGCTGGGGGATTGAACCATGGTCCCTGGGCTTTGCTAAGCTTGTTCTAAGTAGGTGCTTTAGACCACTGAGCCATCTCACCAGCCCGGGTATTTTGTTTTAGCAACAAAACATAACTTTGACATTACCTGATTTGTTTGACTTGCTAGTGTTATCTGGAATGAACTTACAAAGAACCAGAAAATGGTCAATGGAGAAAATTCCAGATTAACCAAAAAATTGTGTGTGTATTTTTAAAAAAATTAACAAGTACTTTATAAACAAGATTGGAATCTCTTTCTCAGGCAACAGATTCTGTAAATGTTGGCTAGGGATTCTTCAAACAAGCATTTTGATCTCCAATACACTGTTTTTCCCATACCCCACCCCAAAAAATGTTTCCATTATTTTATTTTATTTTGTTTTATTTTGTTTTATTTTATTTTATTTTATTTTATTTTATTTTATTTTATTTTATTTTACTTGGCAGAACCAGGTATTGAACTCAGGCCCTTGCACTTGCCAGGGAAGCACTTATTCTACTGAGCTATCTCCTCAGCCCCCCATTTTAGTTTAAGAATGTTCATAGGATCATGGATGATACCATGTGTGTGGACTCCAAATGTCTCCCTCAAAACCAAAGTAGAAAGGGTAAGGAGCAGCTTAAGACTAAGTCTTTCTATGAGATTCTTTGTGTTTATGGACATACCAGTAGAGTGTGAAGCCATTCATAAAATATTGGAGCTTTTGAAAATATTACTGTATTGTAAATCTGTAACTAAATTATCTCAGGATTTAGATTTCACTACTTAAATGAGAAACACATCTAAGTAATATGTCATAAACTTTACCAGACCAGTGAGCAAAGGGAGCCCACCCATGATCAGTCCTCAGCTTATTCCTTCTTTATAGCTTAAGAATTGGGTGCTGTACGTAAAGCCATAGACAACATAAGACAAGGTCAAATTCAACTATCATGTTTATCTTCCCCATGAGAATATTTCTCCTTTCATAACTATACAAGGTTACTGTACTTAGGTAAGAATATAAGCTTCTGAGTGAAATGAAAGGAAATGATTTTCTGGAGTTATCATAAATTATTAGTATGATCTCGAGGAAGGGATTGATGTTCCGTGATCCTTCATCTCCATATTTAGAAATTGTGTTGGGCAGCATGGTTTTTAGCTTAGAAAATATAGTCATAATAATTATTATGATCTACCCCAAAATATGTGAGCTATGCTCCTAGAATATGTCCAAAATCTATGATGTACAGAATATTTACACTAAAACATTATTGTTCTCTTAAACACTTTTCTTTAATCACACACATATGTACCCAAATGTTTCTCAAGATCTTGGGAGTTAGTCATTCTTCATTCTGTTTTCTATATTGGCATTTCACTAATTTTGAAATCCTCAGCTGGAGGATCACTGAGTGGAGAAAATGGGGGTGCCTCAAATGTGAACCCCTTACAAAAATGTGCTTCTTGATCAGTTGTGGAGACTCACACCTATAACTCCAGCATTTAGGAGGCTGAGGCACAAGGATTGCCTCGAGTTCAAGCCCAGCCTGGACAACAGTGAGTTCAAGGCCAGTATGAACTACATAGTTTAAAATAAAACCCTGGTTTAAAATAAAAATTGTGTTTCTCTTATGAATCAGAGGTTTCCCAATACATAACTTTAGAGAAGATCCACCCCCTGTCTAGATTTTTTTTTCTACAATCTTTAAATGTTGATATCTGGTCTGGGTCAGTCTCTAAAAATTTATTTCAATAGACATAGCATCATATAATAAATAAATTCACTAAGCTGAAGTGAACACTGAAAATGTGAGCTTAAAACCACCTTTATAATTTCATAATTCTTACGGTCTTTGACCATTGTGCCTAAGAATCTATCTCAGTATTAATAAGCTAACCTCACTACATCTCTCATAAAAATGAAGTACATGACGCGCACTGCCTAACCAATGCAGGTTCCATTTCACTGATAAGTTTGGTCCTGGCTCTGGGCTTTTTAGAAATGATTAAACATTACAGATGTAATCTATGAGTAAGAGTACATGAAATGTTGGGTAGCAAAACTTCCCTGAAAGCAGGGAGAACAATTTCCAGTTCAAGAGTAAGGGCCAGCATGGGTTGGGGAAGATCTGAAAACACACAGAATAATTGAGACTTGGGGGCGGGAAGGAGTCTGAGGAAAGGGGCTCTGACCAACGGGAAAGACTTTTCCAGGAACCCTCAGGTCTGGACAGTTTCTCTTGGTCTTCTTAAAGTCAGGAAGGTTTCTAAACTCCTTCCAAACATAGTTGCAGCGGGCATTTTATTTATTTATTTATTTATTTATTTATTATTTATTTTGTATTTTTAGTACAGTGTCTACAGGGTTTCACTCCATGGATCGGACTAGTAGTGATCCTCCTGTTCTCAGCCTCCCATGTGCTGGGATTGCAGGTGCGCGCCACCACGCCCAGTCTCATTCACAGTCTCCGTGCTTCCTGCGCCGTGCAAGGCAAGCAGGCGTGCTGCAGATCAAACCTCCGTGGCTGCGCCTGCCTAAACAGACCTTTTAGTCCGCTGAACTATCTGGCTGGCCTGCATCAGGCATTTTGTAAGAATTTGTTGTTGTTCCACAAAGAAAAATCACTGGAAATCATCTTTAGTGAAGGAGAGCTACTGCTGCAAGTACTGCTAGTCTGGGCGGGGGGCGTTAAAGGGACAGAGAGGCATCAGGGAACTCTGTAGCTAAAGCGCAAGTGCTTTTCATTTTGCATTTTCAAGACTGAGGGGAAACAGATGCAGACCGGAGGCAGGGATGCAGTTCCATCCAGACCTGTGCTGGGAATAGAGGACGCGGCCAGAAGAGGTCATTGCACGCAGATCAGAGGGTGCTGCAGAGCGGCACGGTGAGGGAAGGAGAAGACTGAGAGCAGTCAGCTGCCCTGGGAGCTTTCTTAAAAGAAGCCAGATGCTGTCTGGAAAACACAGAGGTTGGAGGGCAGCGTGCCATCCACGGAGCTGTGATCAGCAGAGCTGACCTCCTCCAAGCGGAGGAGCAAGCCGAGCTTTAGTCTCACAGGTGTAAATGTGAATTGCAAATTCTTTCCTGCACCAATGTAAACCCCAGTCTGCTCTTGCGCGGCGAGCAGGTAGTGTTCCTCCTCTATAAAACACTCCCATTTCTTTGAAGACAGTTATTAAATCATATCTCAGAACTTAGGTGTCTTTAGAGGGGAAAAAAATAAGTAAAAAACACCAAGTGCTGTTATTCTGCTCCCTTCCCCCAAAGATTCAATTAACAAGAGGGAAAAGGTGGTGTGTTTTTAACAAGTTCTTCACGCTGAACTGCTTAGAGATGTACATTAGGCCTCCTTTTTGTAATAGGAAAAAATTATCTCGTCATGACTCGGCTCTCTTCTCCACCTCCAGCCGATGACTGCAATCAATCAGCTGGACAGCAAGATTGATTTTCTAATTAAGCTGGCATTTGTACAGGCGCATAGAGCCGCAGAAAGCTTCCCCACTGTATCTTCCCAACACTTTCCGATTTGTATTCATTTACCCTCATACCGGCTTCTCGAAGTGTGTGTAGGGGGGAAGGGTGAGTCCCTCTCTCCATGCAATATCCAACAGGAAAGAATTATATCAAATTACTGAGCAAAAGAGAGGAAAAAATGTAGGCAGGAGTTTATTTGGACTGATGTGGCCTACGAGTGGATGAGGCTGGACCCTCAGCCATCTCACCCGTCCCACCCAGGACCTGCCGCCCTCGCAGCTGGGCCTCCAACACAGATGGCTGGGGGAGGCCGGTTCTGAATGGTTCTACAAGCTCCCTTTCAAATACCGCTTGCCAAAAAGGTACAGCAAGCTTTTGTAGCGGCCTGGGTGAGGAAATGCGCTCCCGATTTAATTTACTTAGGGGAAGAATATGAAACGCTGAACAGCTCCCCAGATTCTGCGTGTCCTCTGGGACTGCACCAGAGGAGAAAACTTACTTTAGCAATTCTGGATCCAACGTGCAGTGCCTCGTTGCCCGTGGTCTCCTTCAGTGTAAGACACTGGGGAATAAAAGCGAAATCAGCAAGAAAAGCTTGCATCTTTTTTAGTTTATTCCTGGTACATCCATTACCTAATATTTTATTTAAAAGCTCAGACTCTCCCTCATTCAAAATGCTAAGTTCATCTGGGGAAACATTATGAGCTGAACGGAAGTGAAGTCTACTTACTTTTTAATGTTTAAAAAATAGGGAGAAAGGAAGAGAGGGAGGTGGTAAATAAAATGACCAAGGAGGTGTGAACTGTGTAAATCAGTTTAGGTAAGAATCAATGTGTGTTAGAGACCTTCAAAAAATAGTTCAAGGTGGCACCATTCATGTTCATTAAGGAGCCTGGTGGCCCTATCCCCAAACATTCCTGTCCCCCTGGGCTGTACAAACACAAAGATGGAACCCTTCCCCTTTCCCTGAAACCTTGTTCTGGTCTTATTTTCCCATGTCTGCTTATTGGACCACTATGTACCTGGTTAGTAGGGTCAAAGCCTGGGTATCATGGAGAACTCAATTATCCCTTGAGGCCCACATCAGACAGCTTGTTTTGTTCTAGAAAGCAGATGTCCGATTCAACTCGTAAATTTATTATCATTCCTCATTCATATTATTGAAATAACTTCCTAACAAGTATTAGTGAAGTCGTTAGTAATGTTCTAATTATTTCCCCAAAGTATATTGGATTCTGTCATTCTGTCCTCAGACTTCCTGCCGCATTCTATTGAATCCTACTGAAGTATAAACTCATGCATCAGCAGGCCTTTTAGTTCCTAACATGACACTGATAGTGCAGGGATTTATACAGAAAGCTGACACCTTCCCCGCCAGTAATAAAAATGCTTTGCTTGTCCAAACTTTAATTAGGTTCCTAAGTCTTCTTCTAGGCCTGTCTGTGTATTTTCTTATAAATTCTAGTTCTAAATGAAGCCTCCTCTGTGAATTTAACAAGAACCCTAAAAAAAAAAAAAAAAAAAACCAAGAACCCTATACCTTAAATATCAGGTCATGTTTATTGGCTAACCATCTTTGATTCCTTGATAGTTCTTCCTCCCCCATCATTGCCCGGGTGATACCTAATCATTTTGGCCTCTTAAGTAAGAATTACTTTAGGTAGTTTTAATCAGAATTCTCCTTCCCCCGCTAGTATCTCTTATACCATCTTGCCCACTTGACTGTAAGTTCTCCACTGCCCACCTGTGTTTGGGACTGAACTCAGAGCCCCCCCCCATGCACGCAAATATACACACTGTAAATCCCATGGCCATAGACACGATAACTATGGTAATGGTATTGACTAGTCTTACTTCCCATGATTTAAGAAGTGTCATTGAATAATTTTTCTCTTTATAGAGGCATTTGGAAGTTATACCAGATTGGTGTTTTTGTGGCTCATTGAGTAGAGATCATAACTGTATTTAGTAAGGGAGACACTTAAGATTCTAGATACAATCAGAGATATAGCACCCTACTTAAAAAGACTACTTCAAGTCTAGTGAAATGTGCCTTGCCTCTACCTCCAAACATGTATCACCTTGGTCATGACTCTAGCCCCCTCAAATCATTCTGCATGGCACCTCTTTCAAGTGAATGGCCCCAATCTTTACTTCTTTGTGTGTGTGTGTGTGCGCACACTGACCTTCCCCCACTGTGAATCTCAGTTAGGAACTTAACAGGTTAGGAATTTTACATATAAATTAGGAACTTTAAAGTCTCCTTAAATGGTAAGCTCAAGCTGGCAAGCTAACTCACAGACTAAGCACCTGCCTTAGGCAAGTGCAGGGACCAGGGTTTGATCCCCAGCACCACAGGCCTCACTGGCCCAGCCCTGAGGGGCACTGAGCCAGCCACTGAGACTGGCCCTGGTGGCATATGCCTGCAATCCAAGAGCTGGGGAGGCTGAAAACAGGAGGATCACTACAAGTCTGAATTGGAGAGTGAGACTCTGTACCAAATACATTTTAAAATAAATAAATAAATCGGAAGCTCTTTGAAAGAAAGCACTTTTGATACTCACTTTTATATAATTGATGCAAGTGAAATAAGACTTTATATACAGTAAGTACTCAATATGCAGTCATTCGGTTGATCAGGGTTGAGGCTCTACGCTGGCAACGAAACCCTTTTCTGTTCAAGGAATCAGGGAGGACTTACGGGATCAGGTGAGGAGTGAACACAAGAACAAGCCATATCATCACACAGCAAAAGTCACAGCCAGCAGAGGGGAGTTTCCTCAGCTATCTGAAGAAGGGAGCATAGCATTCTAGATGAGAGGTCAGGTCAGAAGAGCTCCGAGCCTCTGTGATTCAGCAAAAGAGGGCCAACCAGACACTGATGAGCACTGAGGCATAACAAACAAAAAGACAATTTACAATCAAAAATGATTTCATCAAATCCTTGAGAAACCAGGTGGTCAGAGGTTTTGATAGGTTGTACCAGAGGAGTCCCACTGCCAAAGGGGAGCAGCTGCATGGCATGGGCCTGGGACACAGCTGGGCTTGCACCTTGCCCCAGGCTCTGAGCTCCTATGTGGCTCCTCAGGACGAGCATTCATCCTGGTTGTACTAGCCTGAGATCTGCAGGAGGGGACAGCCCCTGGGGAGCACTTGGCCTGAGAATTTGCCAAAGTCAACAGCAGCCTTCAAAGGCAAAGCTGCATTAGGCCCATTAGCTGCCAACTGTTTGGCAGCAATAGCTGCAGGTTGAGAGGCAGGAGAGATAGTGTTTCCATGTGCTCTCACCTATATAAGTCAGACTCATGATTGACCGCTGAGAAGCAAGTGACTTGAGGAATAAAAACACCTTAAAGTAATTTCTGAAGAAAGAATGGAAAGAAGGGCCAGCAAGATAGCTCAGGGAATTAAGCACCTGCTTAGGCAAGTGCAGGGACCAGGGTTTGACCCCTGAGACCACACGCTGTGTCGGCCCCACCGCCAAGCACACTGAGCTGGCCACCGAGTCCAGGCATGGTGGTACACGCCTATAATCTCAGCAGTAGAGAGGCTAAAAACAGGAGGAGCACTACAAATCTGAGCTGTGTAGACAGACCCTGTACCAAATAAATAAATAAATAAATAAATAAAAAAAAATCCAAGATGAAAATAACTATGCTACATGCTAGGGTTGAAATTAAGGAAATGGAGTAAGAGGAAAATGAGAAAATGAGCTATCAGAAAAATTTCAAAGGAAAAGGTTAGTATGATCTTAAAAAAATAGACTTTCACTGGAATATAGAGAACAGAGGCAAATAACCCTAGTACAAAATATGGAACGTAGCTATGTCCTGACTAGACAGATCACACTTAAAAGATAGTACTCCCAAACTAATTGAAAGAACTAGAATGATTTGGGAGAAACAGAAATTTAACTGCAGTTGTAGTTTGAAAAAGTAATAAACACTGATGCTGGCAAGAATAATAAGATAATTATTCATTATTGAGCTCATATGTATTGGAGAACTATTTTGGGTGAAGTACTTTATTAAAGGAAGGGATATCTGAAATCTACCTCAAAGGCTAGGAAGAATGGCTTAGCTAAAGAGGATAGACCATGGCTAGATAGTACCAACATCATGAGCAACATCAGCACCACATATTCCAGGGATAGAGAGACACAAGTGTGCTGTGGTTTACATCTAAAATGCTTCTCTAGGGGCCGGGGAGATGGCTCAGTAGGATAAGTACTTGACTGGCAAACACAGGGATCTGAGTTCAATCCCCGGTTCTGGAAAAAAAAAAAAAAAATCCTAAAATGCTTCTCTAAGTTCTCACTTTCAGGGGTGGGGCCTGGTTAGAAGAGGTGGGTCACAGGGAGCGTGATCTGGACAAGTATATTCCTGTCCGCAGCTCCTCCCCTAACGCCTCTCTGCTTTGTTGTCAGAGGAGGGCCACTTTCCTCTATTTTTTTCCCTGCCATGTCCTCTGCCAGGCCACCTCAGCACGAGAGCCACCCAGACACAGGCTCCACGCACTAAGACTGTGAGCCAAAATAAACTTTCATCTTTTCAGTTGGGGATGTTGGGCATTTTTGTCCCAGCAGTGAGAAAGCAGCTGATCCAGAAAAATTGATAGTAAAATGAGGGGTCATTACTAAAACTATTTCTGCCCATCTGGTTCAGGGGAATTTGGCACTAAATTGCTAGAGAGGTTTGATAAGATGCTGGAGATGCCCTAGGATGTTGTGAACAGTGCTTGATATGCAATTATATGCAATACAGGTCAGCACTCAAAAGCCCAAATGCTGTTAGGAATGCATATAATAGAGATCAAGTTCATGATGCTTCAGTTGGGAATAAGGACAGTGCTGGGAGCCAAGGGGATATGTATGCTGTGTGTTTATTGTTCTTCTTATTGTTGTTTCTTTTGTTTTGCTTTCAGTTTTTTGTTTTGTTTTGTTTTTTGCCTTTTTGAGACAGAATCTCACTATGCAGTTCAGACAGGTCTTCAGTTCACTTTGTAGCCCAGACTGGCCTCAAACTCTTAGCAATCCTCCTGCCTCAGCCTTCCAAGTTCTGGGATTATAGGCATGCAGTTTGGGAGGTTTATATTTGTAATCCCATGAAAAAGTTATTGGAATACCAGTAAGTAAATTCCAATCTGCCACATCCAGTGTGATGTATGCTGAAAATAATGTCACTAAAGCATATGGGAAATCAAGGAGATCCTAAGCCCAGTTAGGAGGATGGCTATCTGAAACAAAGACCTCAACCCAGAACCAAACCCAGGTTTTATTAATTTGTGAAGAGGGGAGTGGCTGGGAGATGAGTGACTGCAGTTGTGGTGGAAAGTATATAGTGCTGTGAGCTGGGCTAGGTAGAGGCTTGAGATCACCTCTGCAATACGCAGAGAGAAGGATCTGCAGAAACAGTAATGTGCATAAAACAATTTGAGGTAGTGTCTAATGTTTTGAGGTCAGTGCTTCAGCTCTGATGTGTAATGTTTTTATTCTCTGAGAAGTCACAGCCTCTATCTTGAGGCTTGATCCCAGCCAACAGTGTGGAGCAGGGCTCTCCTTCCCATCTAGCTCACACATGCTTTTTGAGAGGTATGGGACAGGGCAACACCAACCTGTCACCTTGCTTTGAAGGCTACACATCAACCCCTGGGATAGACCAATTTGCATTGTCTAAAGCCAGTTGAGGAGGAAAAGAGAAGTCCAAGCCAGCTCTGCAAACCTCAAGACATGGGAATAGGACTCAGTTTAGCCAAAATGGAGATAATTGTTCAAGAAGAATCATCCAGGTGATCCTCCACATGTCAGGAGCAAATTTCAGAGATAAATGTTTTGAAAAGTTTTCACTTTTCTCAGGAAGTGAAAGCATTCAGTTTGTACAAAGAAGAGCATAGTTACTAGAAAGAATAGCCTTATTGTGAATAAGTGAAATACTTTGTTCAGAGGCAAGAAGAAAGATGATTTGAGGACGTCTCAAAAATTAACAAGATGAAGGTGGGGAGGTAGCTCAGTAAAATAAACACTTGTTTGGCAAGTGCAAGGTCCTGAGTTCAAACCCCAGTACCATAAAAAAAAAGGAAAGAAAGAAATTAGCAAGACCCCAGAGATCATAGGCTCAAGAGTGAACAAGTGAAATCTTTCATCTGAGAAGACAGACCGTGGGATGCCTATTTACTCAAGACCCCTAGAGAAGTATATAGCTGGGTTCATCCACCGAGGCACTCAGAGGCACCTAACTACAGCCATGGTCCAAGGGGGCCCAGCCACTGCTTAAGCTGGTAGCTGACCATGACATCATTAACATGGTCCTTGTTTTTCAGGGACACAGAATACAAGTGTTTTGTGGTCACAGAGACTTCTAGACAGATTTCAGAGGAGAAGTCTAGGCAGTCACTGCTGGGACCTCCATAAGAGATCAGTGTGTGAAGCTGTTGAGTGAAGCAAAAATTGCAGTTAGAGATGTCCAAACTGTGGAACCTCTGCTAGCAAAGACAGAGGCAGTGATCAGAGCCTGCCTGAGAGAAAGGCAAGGAGGACAGCAACAAGTAAGGCCTAGGGCAGGGCGGGCCGAGCCCTTTATACTCACTTCTCAACACAACCTATCCCAGGTGTTGGACATAGAGTTACAGGATTTAATGCTTGCTAAAGGCTGCTTTAGTCTTGCTTTCGTCCAACTTCTATCTATTCCTCTATTCCTATTTTTTGGATAGGAATGTTTACTCTGCATCATTATATGTTGGAAAGGCTTAATTTTCTTTTTTATTTTTATAAGGGTTCACAGTGAAGAGCTTGCCTTGAGTCACTAAGGAGGCCTTAGATTTTAATTGTTTAGTAATACTGGAGCCATTAAGATGTTGGTGACTCTTAGAAACAGACTAAATTATATCTTGCATAATGAAATGGCTATGAGCCTTCATGGGGCCAGGGAAGGAATATTATGGTTCAAATATAAATTTTCTCCTGAAAGTCTTACATTGATAGGTGGAAGAGAAAAGTCACTGGGAGCATGACCAGGGGATGCTTGTGTCCGTACCTCCTCCACGCCCCACCCCAATCTTGCTGCTCTCTGGCCATCGCGATGTGAGCAGCTTTCCTCTGTCATGCTATTCTGCCACATCATTTCTACCTTAGAGCCAGCCCACTAGGGACTGCACCCACTAAGACTCTGAGCTAGTAAACCTCTCCTCCTTTAAATAGAGGATGTTAGGTATTTTGTCCTAGCAATAGGGAACTGACTTATACAAAGTCTTGCTGGATAATGCGTAGGATGGAGGAGAGAAAGAGCATGGAAAGAGTCTACTGGCAGCATTGCAAAATTTTACCATCACTTGTCCAATGATGAACCACTAAACACAGAAAAAACGGTACAGAAGCACAGAGATAGTGAGATGTCTTCACTTATCTATAAAAATACTACTTTTTAATGTAAAGAATTTTTATTCTCAATCTACATGTGCAAAAATCACTTTTCTCCTTCCCTTTCATGCCACTGACTATTCTGGTAATTATTTTTGCTTTACAGTCCCATCAATGAGAAGCAGCATTCTGTGAGCTCCCTGGACTTGGGCCACTGCCATCCTTAGCATGCTCCTTTAACTTTGAGTGTCTCAGTTGCATTCACAAAGGAATGGTGACAGAGTTAATTAGAAGAAAAGTTAATTAGAATCTAGATCTTCTACAATTTCTTCCTACCTTCAGCAATTCCTCAAGTTCCTAAAAGTGCTGCTTAGAGAAAAAGATTTGCACTGACGCAGAACTTTGTGGCTGTGAAAGTAATTCTAAAATGATTATGGAGAGATGGATATGACCTGTATCTACAGGAACACTTGGCATTTCATTTGCCACATCTTGTCATTTGGGGATAGCAGGATTGTAGAGCCAAAAGATCCACCTGTGTCTGTCTCGGTGAATCACTCAGTCACTTTAGATGAGGAGAAAAGAAAGAACAGAAGTTAGACAAAATAATTAATAGAGAAAAGGACTTGGACAATCTATTGCTACCACTTATGGGAGAGCAGAAGATTCATCTCAAATTTATTTTGTCATATCTGAGAGTCTAAAATCTGGTCATGGATTAGTAGATACAAAAAAAGAAAGATACAGAATAAAAGTTCTGCAACCTTTACTTTATTCTCATTGTTGGAGACCTCTGAACTATAGTCTCCTTGTCTCTAAAATGAAAATAATAATAATAATAATGCTTACTTCTTGGGGTAGTTGTGAGGACAGAAAAGAACATGTACCAAACACTTAGCACATGCTGATTTCCATGCTTTATGGATTCCATGAAAAGGCCTGGATTCTATGAAAAGGAAATATATTGGCAGGAACATAGAAGGCCACAAGGATGCCCTTCACTACTGCAAGTTTTTTATTTGCATGTGAACAATGAAAGTAATAGCAGTTGCCATGAAAATCAGCTGCCACATAGACAGACTCATTCACTTGTCTCTCCCTGAAATGAATTTTTGGTCTGGCACCCAGCAAAATAAACTGCTGTGGATCAAGATGAGTGCAAATCCAGCATCTATTATTGGTATCTTTCTTAATGTCTTGACACCATTTTAAAAAATGAACCAACCAGCCAACTGGAGACTATTCAACGCTAAATAAACATTTGGAATCATGCCAGGCCTTTTACAAAATTACAACCTGCCTAAAATAGATGCCTCAGAGGTCAGTTTCAAATGGGCTCATTGGATGTCCATGTTTGTTTACTTCTACCCAAAGGCAATTTCAGGGCAAGTAACTCAGACAGCTGCTTGGGCGTCCAGCATTAAGCGCAGACACTGCTGTTCCTTGTACAAGATGTGCTGCGCCACTGCTTCTATTTTAAAAGGATTTCCCACCTTCTTTTGGAGAAGGCAAGGCCATGGGTCAAGTGTGAAGGCAAAAGCCATTTAGAAAGAAAAGTAGGAAATGGCGAGACAAAGAAGGCAGGCCCGCATTTTAGATATGGACCCCTACCTAGCCTACAACTTTGCCTATCCAGCTAAACAGATCTCTTCATTTGAAATAGAATAATAAATAGACCCAAAAGTTTATTGAAAATATACAAATATCTAAAAATTTCTTTTCACAAAGCATAATGTTAGAGTAAAATAATCAATGAGAAGAGGAATAATCAGTTCCCTTTAATAAATGCACATGCCACCTACATGTGGTGGTACACATCTATACTCCCAGCACTTGGGAGGCTGAAGCAGGAGGATCACTTCAAATCCAAGGCAAGCCTAGGCAACAAAGCAAGTTTAAGGACAGCCTGAATTGCATAATGACACCCTATCAAAAAAAAAAAGGAAAATAAATAAATATATAAAATGATAAAATATATTTGTGGCAGAACTTTGGCTTCCAGAAAGCAAAACACTCAAAACTCAGTTTTTGATGTAGGATATCTTCCCATTTTTTATCTTAATAAAGAAAAATAATGGGATTGGATATTCTTGGGGGGCAGGAAGAAAAGCCAGCTAATTTCAAACAGGGTTTCAGAAATTGAAAAGGTTAATGAATTGACAGTTGAAACACTTTTAGAAATCTTTAACATCATGTGTTTTATATAAATCAGTTATCATATTTTGCCACTAAGTCACCTTAAAACAAAGGAGAAACATGACCTGGAACTACCAAGCAAAAACTTTCTTGTACATTGAAATACATCTTATTTGACCAAAGGAAACAGTAATTCTTCTGAGAAAGCCTGCCTGGATAGCTCAAGCTTGAACTGATTTTCTGCTAAGCCGAATTTTTATGTAATATATAGTTAGTTTACTCCATTCAGGAGCTAATTATGCATAGCTTATGTTTTTCTCAAATTGACTTACATGAGCTTGTTCCCCCACCTACACAAGAAGCTTTTTTTCCCCTCTAGAGTGGCCGTAACAATGCAGTAAAGTTTTGTCAGTAGTCATGTGTTGCATTTATTCTCCCTCTTTGGAGCATCCGTTTGGTGCTGAGCACATCAAAAACCTTCAGTAAACATCTGCTGAATAAAACAAAAGTTTCAATTACAACAGTCTAAAGTGAAATGTCTCTAATATAAGATTGTTACTTCAATTAGGGTTAATGTAAACATGCAGGTATATTAGAATCACCTGGCTGCATATCGGAATCACTGGGGAGCTCTAACAACATTTCTTTGTCCTATATTACACGTTGATATTAAAATGTAGGGAAAAGGGGGGAGATATATTCATATACGTATGCAGGAAGTCTTGGATAATTGTCCTGCTGACTTCTGCTGGTCTACAGAGGGGAGCAGGGGATGCTCAAATGTTTCTTTCTTGTCCTTTTCATTTCTTATAATTTTTTAAAATCAATATTGAGTGCTTATATCTGATAATCTAAACAAATAATTTGAAGACAACGGGGGTCAGGGAGATAGCTCAGTGGCATAGGCGCCTGCCTCTCAAGCACAAGTCTGATCCCTGGCACTTCATAAAAAAATAAACAAATAAATTAAAAGTTTCTCGGTTGAAGACAACATGATGACTTCCGATTGCTTTGTTTGGTGAAGGTCTGTACTGCTCCTAATAAGTTTTTGATCTTTTACTAAGGATAATTTTACTATTTTATATTCTCTTTAGATAAGAAAAAATGAAAGTTTTGTGCTAATATTGTGTAGACAAGATATGACATCTACATCTTTCACTCTGAATAACTACTAGAGGACAACAATACACAATGTATCAACTATTGTATCTGTCCTTATAAGCTGTTTTGAAATTTGGTTTCATTGTTACGTTTATCTTTTTTTGTTGTTGTTGTATTTTAGTCCAACAGGGTCTACTACATAGATAGGACTGGGAGTAATTTTCTTGTGTTCAGCCTCCCAAGAGCTGGGATTACAGGCGCGCACCACCACGCCCAGTCTCAATCTCTATCTCAGTGTGCCAGGGGGGCGGGGCCAGCACTGCACACTGGGGATCAGACCTCCGCCACTGCATCTGCCTAAGCAGGTGCTTTAGTCTGCTGAGCTATTTGGCCGGCCCTGTTATGTTTATCTTTTTTAAAAAGGAAAGAACAACTGGAATGGGGGAAAGGAGAACAAAAGGATATACACAAGATAGCTAAGATAATTGTGCTACTAATTTCTATTGGTTTATTGAAAGGAACGGATAAGGTTTAATTGGTTGATCAATATTGCATACTTATATCTGGCAATCTGAGCAACAAATTTGATGATAACAATATCTAATATAACAACCATTGTTAATTTCCTATTCTCATTTTGAAATTCTGTATCATGTTTATTGCTATTTGTCATTTTGTTGTCTTTGTTTCTTTCACTTTAAAATAAAATTTAAAAAATGAATAAAATAGAGAAATACAATAATCCCATTGTCATCAAGTAGCTTACATAAGTAGAGTTGAAAACAGCTATCAAAGCTTATAGCAAATAAATAAAATGCATATCAGCTGATCACATTGTAGTTTCTGTATTTACCATTAATTTCTGAGAATTAACCTTGGTAACCATGACTGGACCCTGATATTCCCCAAGACTTCTCCAATAATTCATTTACCAACCATCCTGTAAAACGGCTGATTTTGCAAATGTTTAAATTCATCAGTTGTGGGCTGGGGAGATAGCTCAGCAGTCTAAGCACCTGGGAAGCACAAGGACCCAGTTTCGATCCCCAGTACCACATGCTATGCTGGTCTAAGCTACGTAGCGAGACTCTATAACAAATCAATCAATCAATCAATCAATCAGTCATCAGTTGTGCACTGATGCTGATTAATTTTGCTTATAGAAGAGAATTTTATTTCTGATTCATAGGAAAAAAGTAACAGAATTAACTTCCTATCTGTGGGTACATTTTATATTAATTCAATACAGTTTTGTACCAGCACTATATATTCAAAGATAAAATAACAGGAACCAGATTTACCTTCTTGCCTGAAACAACTAAAGAGCTGCATAATTCAACTTTCAAGTATTGAACACTGACTGAGAAAAAAGTACTGCTCCCTACGACAGGGGAAGTGGGGAGGTGCATCTCATGAGTGCCCCCGCTTGCTCCCTGGAGAATGATTCCAGCTTGTGGGGCAGAAAAGCAAATCCCTGGAAGAGCTGACAGACTGAGTTAAGGAAGCAAAGGCCAGAGACAGAGAGAGAGCGTCCAAGAGTCGCAGGGGATCCCCCTTCCGTATTCTGGTAAGTATTGCTGAGCAAATGGGAGTGAGAAAACTACCGACAAGGATTTGAAGAGCCATGTCCGGAACGTACACAGAGCCAGTAGTGGTGCCTGATCTCTCAACCAATCAGGAGCTGTGGATTAGAGCAGAGATGGGCAAAGCATGGGCAACAGGCCAAATCCTGTCTGCCAACTTTTCATAAGTACAGTTTTCTTGGAATGCAGTCACTCCCATTTTTATGTACTTTCTGTGACTATATTTGCTCTACAGTGACAGAATTGAGTGGTTGGGACTGTGACCATATGGCTCACATGGCCTAAGGTATTTACTATTTAGCTCCTCAGGGGGAAAAAAATAATTGCATACCCCTAAGGTAAAGTATTAAGAAGTACCTTTCCTTCATAATGGAAAAAATGAACTCTACACTAAATGCTCTTCTGGTCCTATTCAATAAAGCTGGCTTTTAAAGCAAGATTGTTCCCAATTAACTTATGTTCCAGGATCTCAAGACCCTCCATATGAATTCAAAATATATATCCAGCAACTGCCAATGTAAAATTCACAAGAGCTGGAGTCCAACCAAAAGTTACCATGCATGCAAAGAAGGGCAATACAACCCATAATGTGGAAGGGGACACACAATTAGTCAAAACTGAGCCAGAAATAACAAATTATAAAATTAATAGGCAAGGACATTAACACAGCTGTTATGGATATTTAATGTTGTTACTTGAGAAAAGATAGCACATGTTTAGTAAGAACAAGAAAAACGTTTTGTAAAACAAAACCAAATAAAATAGTTAACCATTTAAAACAATATAATAGCAATGTATTTGCGGATACACCATGTTTGGACTGTAAAACATAGACATCTCCTGAGTCTCCCATGATAACATGAACATAAAAACCAAGAGAGATACAAATAGATGCATATCATTACTTTCTATTATGAAATAATTTAACATAGCTAATAGTGGTAATGTTTGTCTGAAATCATGAGTTCTTATGACACTAAGCAGGAGGATCAAGAATTTGATGCCATTCTGGGCAATTTGGGAAGACTCTTTCACAATGCTTTCAAAGATGGGAAGGGCCTGGGAATGGCTCAGTGGTCAAGCACTTGCCTAGCATAGGTGAGGCCATGCTTTCAATACCCAACACCACACACACACACACACACACACACACACACACACACTTGCATGCACACACAATTAGTTTAATAATATCCAAAGGTATAACTGCTGGAACAAGTACTTAAAAACATAGGGCTGGGGAGATAACTTGGTGGCATAAGTGCCTGTCTGGCAAATGCAAGGACCTGGGTTCGACTCCCAGCACCACATGCCTCAGGACCCCAGGTATGGTGGAGATTGAGACAGGTTGATCACTATGAGTCTGAGCTGCATAGTGAGACCCTGTACCAAATAAATAAATAAATAAATAAATAAATAAATGTTGTTTTTAAAAAAATTAAATACATGCCCATGTAATAGTGTATTAGTAAAGCCACCAAATACTTTATTTTTTGGCATTTCCAACACTTCTATTTGATTCCTTTTATAGTTGCCATTTTTCAACTAAAACTCCCTTCCATTCATTTTTTTATACACTTTTTATAGTACCGCTTTAGTATATTTCCATGGTGGTGTTGAAGTAGTCTTTCTAAAAGAACTTTAACATTGGAAACAGAAACATATTGATCTGCATCTACTGTCTTTTTCTTTCAACGATGTGTAACATTTTCCCCCTCTCTTCATGTGTCTTACAATTTGTTATTGAATGCTGGACATTCATGTGAAGAAAAAAAAAAAAGTAGACTATAGCAAATAATATTTACCTCCACCAGAACTGATATTTTCCTTCTTCTGTGAGACCAGTAGTACTTGGTGGCAGTTCATTCTAGACTTACTTAGGCTGAGCATTACCTGTGTCTATGTTTCAGTTATACTCTTTCACCACTGAACGGGGTAGGTTAGAGAGGGATAGTCCTTTTACCTGGTCGTGAGATCAAAGACCTTGGAGAATTCAGAAGTGGTCTCTTGCTAAGATTCTTGGGAGCGTCCTTGGCTCTCCCTGCTCACCCTCACTCTGCACCTAGGAATTTGGCCTGCACTTTCTTACTCTCATCTGGATCCCATTCACTCCATCTCCTACTACTCTACCTGAGATAAAGGTATCTGTAGGCCTGCTCTACTGTCCTGGGAAGACTTTATTGGGTTTTTTTTTGTAATTTTATTTATTCAGATTTTTAAAAATTCCTCAAATCTTTGGAGAGTTAAAAATAAATCTGTAATTTTTGTAGATATCCAGCTTATTCATTCTTAGATGAGAGCAGTTGTCTCCGGATTTTCACCTTCCCAAATGGAAGCAGACATTTCAATGAGCTTATCTTTTCAAATGAAGTTTACAGAGTGGCCATTTGGTGCAAGAACAATACAGGTGGTAGAAGCAAAGGGATTTTATTAATTAGACTCCAATTTAGCTTTTTAAAAATAGAAAATTTTAGAGGCTGGCCACATAGTTCAGTGGATTAAAGCACCTGCAAGCAGGCACAGGGACTGGGGGATCAATCCCCTGGCTTGCTGTACCAGCCCTGCCCCCAGCATGCATTGAGACAGCAATTGAGACTGGGTGTGGTGGTGCCTGCCTGTAATCCCAGCTCTTGGGAGGCTGTAAACAGGTGGATCACTACCAGGCTGATCTAGTTGTGAGACCCTAAACACCCTGTAGACCCTTCCCTAAAATACAAAGAAAGAAAAAAGAAAATTTTGAACTATTGACTGATGAGATTCAATACCAAACTATTTTAAAAAATCATATGCAGAATTTAAAAACCTATTTGCATAAATTCAAGATTTTATCTTCAGGGAAAATTTGCCACAGACTTAAACAGAACTGGAGTTGATCTAATCCAGAGGTTTAAACACAAAGGCAAGAGAACTCCAGATATCTGCGCAAATCTATTTAGAGCTGCCACATGTGAGTCAAAATCTAATCTATTCCAGGTCCCCTTCTCTTGCTGAATTCTGAATTTACCATGTTTTTAAATACTGTTTTTAGTTAGCATTTGAAATAGAAGTTCTGATCTTTTGAAAATTATAAAAATCACAATATCTCCCCATCTTCCCATCCTTTTCCATCTTTCACAAATACACATTGAGAGAGAGAGAGAGAGAGAGAGAGAGAGAGAGAGAGAGAGAGAGAGAAAGAGAGAGAGATATTTACAAATATTTTCTTTAGGAACAGAGGCAGCTCTCAAAAATGACTTCACTAAGATCACGTGGGTAAACAATAACAGAAATGGTACTAGAACCCCTCCCAATCCAGTATATTTTCTTCTGTACATGTTCCTTCATATTATTAATTAATCTTACTGCCCTGGACCACCATAAGTCTCTGCCTTACGGGTTAAATTCCATTGGAACCGTGGATGATTAGGGCTCGTCACATTGACGAATGATTGTACAGCTTTGGAGGCTCTCGTGTGACATCCGCTGGACCCAGGTGAAATGGTAATCACCAATGTATAAATGATTTGGACACTGTAATTTCCCCCTGTGATTTAGTTTGCTTTCCCCTGTTGATTTATTTAGAATGTGCTCTGCTACATCTTCCAACCTTGCTACTCTTTGAGCACCAATAAATGTCAAACAGATTAGACAGACCCATAACTCAATGGGCACATTTCTAAAAATGGTACAAAGGTGAAAGACTCGCAGTTTCAGATGATTGGAGTATTTACAGGATGTTAAGAAAACATCTGCTTCAAAGATTCAGAGGTTTGTGAGTTGATGTAATGTTTTATTAGGGTCCTATACGACTACTAGTGACTGTACAGAAAATATTAAGTTATTACAGAGTGAATGACTTTTGAGCACCTATTACACAGAATGGGTGGTCCACAGAATGGCCCTGTAATAGCCACTCGGAGTGTACACGTTCTGCTTTTATAAGAAGAGAGAGAATAGTGCTCTCTTTTATAGTTTTGCTCAAAGACAAATTAGGGTAAAAAGAGATAGTTTTTCTTTTAGTGCTGACCACTTAGGTTTGCAATTATAACATCCTCACTGTGGTATAGAGTCAGCAAATCTCAGAAGCAGATAAAAGGTGGCAGCAATTCATTGGAACAAATTGGGAATTTTTGATCAGCTGCATGTTAACATTGTGACCACTGTTCTGCCACCAGTTACAGAGCCCATCATGATATGCTATTTTATTTTGTCTTTATGAGACTTGTGAGAAAATGATATAATTATTTCCATTTTACATAAGAAGAAACTGAGGTCTGTAGAGCTCAAGTAACATGGGCAAATATTTCAGCAAATGGCAAAGATGGTGCTCTAATCCAATTTGATTGATTCCAAAGGTTGATTTTTCTTTCTTTTTCACAGGGAGCTGTGTGGTGGGGGTAAGTCCAGGGCCTCACCTATTTTATGCAAGTGTTCTACCATTGAACTAC